TGTAGCTGTTAAAATAAACCTGTGTGGTGTACATGTTACATGTTGAGACCAAAACAAAAACAGGCATGTCTTGTGGAAGAGTCATTTCTTTAGTGGGTTTAGTCATTTGAAATAACACAAACTATTCTACAACTTCAAGTGGCTATGATCAATATTTTTATATTCACAATGGATCTCATAATTGTATGCGAAAGTTGTTACCAGCTTTGCAGTATCCCCTCAGCTTTTTTCAGAGTTTTCTAGCTTCTTTTTACTGTTTTGGTTCTCACACTCACTGACAGCATGCAGCTGTTTTCAGAATAAAAGCCAATGCACACTACCTGCTGAGCAGCAGACAGACAGTAAGCGTCAGAGTTAGTCACTACCGGGTGAACATAGTGGAGCATTTAGCAGGAGTTGGTACAGACCATCAACAGCTAAAAGAGAGTAAATATTTGATTTGGATTCACCAGGTGGACTCCACCTGAAGCCCAAACTATTAAACTACTTTTCACACTGCAAATTGAGTTAACCCTGGAATAACCTCTATTACCCTAAGGGGGGGCTATTGTTCACACTGCAGTTCCGCTGGCCCTGGGCTAAATGTCCTTTGGAACACACCGCTAATGTTTACATGTATGCTTACATTTTGTTTACTTTAGCCTGTTTCATACTGGTTCCTTATAGATTTTCAGTGGACAACCAGGAAAACTCTGGGCTAACCTGCTCTGGAGAATGTGCCAGGATTGTGCCAGGATTGTGCCAATATGAAGCTTTGTTAGCCTGGTGCCAAGACATTTCTAAAAAAGCTTTTAGCCCTGGGCTATAACTGCACTATACTGCGTGTGTCTGCAGGGTGTGTAAATAGGCAACTGTTTGCTAACAGTTTTGCCATATTAAAGGTTATGAAATGTCAGTTTTGTTGTTTCTACTGCTAAAGCTACTAAAACATCAGTTCTTGCAGGTTTCATTTATATTCAAAGGTTTTGGTGTGTAATCCAATCTGTTGACTGAAAGTCTTTCTATCTGACATCAGTGATTTACAGCGACAGCACTCCTGACTCACTGTTTGTCTTGTGTGACTTTGTTTCCAGTGATGGCTAAAGGAGCTGTGAATGACAGAGCCATCAGCACACCGAAAGGTACACAGCACACACCTGATATTCACTGCTGTCATCCACATAACCTTCCAGCATTGTTACTGCAGGGTGTCCACAGGGTCTTTAAAAAGTCTAAAATCCAATAATCTGAATCTGAAATATGATCTTATCAGATTAGTCTAATTATCATTATGATAATAGATTTAGTAATTTTAGTGTTAAACCTTATTGAGAAGAACTTGTGTCTTTGCCCCCACACGCTCAACCCCTAACTGCCCATCTGTCTTCCTCCCCGTAACCCAGGTTTCAACATCAACTTAACTTTTGACGAAGGAGTCAGTGCGATCTTCAGTGACCGAGGAACAAGTAAGCTACTCTGACCTTTCTCTCAGTCTCACTGATCAGGTGTTCAGCCACTAAATGAGAGTTAGGTCGTCCTTGCATGTTAGAAATGGACATACCGGTAACACACAAAACAAAAGAACAATGCGTCAAACTGAGGTGAACAGACTTTAAGTTTCAATTCATCCGCTGTCTACTGTGTCCTCACAGGTCTTGTTGGGGAGACCAGTGTTCTTCATGTGCGGTCAAATGAGCAGCAGTAAGTGTTTTTTGTCACTTTCACAGTTGTGGTTGTGCAGGGACTTGTAGTTTGAAGGAATGTACAGCAACATAATGTTACCTAGGTAAGTCTTTTTGGTCTAAACCAGTTTTTGTGAATGAAAAGACATCCCATTAATATAGCAGTTACAGCAGGTCAGACATTTAAGAGATTTCCATTTCCATTATGTATTTTGAAAATGTATTCAAAATGTGTAATTCCATGTATCCTATTAACAAGTTTGTGCCTCATATATCTTCTTCCTCTGTACTGCAGAGCTCCATTGTTGTCCAAAAACCATTAAAAACACATCAATGAGTCCCACTAGGTGAACTGTTCCTGCCCCAAATAGATTCAGTAGCTTAGAGCCACAGACAGGGAAGGGATGTCAGAAAGTACTGAGAGGCTAACACATTGTTGGTTTGGGTTATTCGTGTTAAAAAACTCATTAGCCTTATCCTTTAGAGGGCCAGTTCACCAGAATTACAAATAAAATGTGTTTTCTTCTTCTTCTTTCCAGTGGTATCTCTCAATGTTATTCACCATCATTCACTTTGTTCCATTTTCACTTTGGCTTTCACAACTCTTAGATATTTCATTGTTATATTCCATGAGTAAGGAGTGTTTAGGAGAAGATTTCTGTGGAGGTGTGATTTCAAACTCTGCTCTCTTCTGTGTTTCAGAGCTCCTGGATTGCGGCAGTGGAACGTGCAGTCTCCTCTCCGCCAGAAGAAAAAATCATCTAATGTCTAATGTTGATATGCGCTTTTGAAATGGTGTTTGTTGTTGCTGTATTACTGTACTCATATTTTGCTGTTTCCTGTTGCTCTGCATGGCTTATGGTTATTGGTTATTATTGTTATTATTATTGTTTTGTCTCTGTTGCTTTATGGCGCCTCGTTGCCTTCTGTAAATTTCACCTCATCACATTATAGGTTTCAAAACATCCCAACAAATCTTTTTGATAATAAAGATAAACCTTCAGAATATTTTTTGTGGCCAGATTATTACTGTTTATTATTTTTTTGCTCCCTTTTCATTTCGGTTCCAATGTCAGTCAATCTTTTTGGTGTCTAGTAACTAGCCACTAGCAGAATTCGAGTGTGATTTGACTCCAGTCCATTTGACTGAAAATTTACCTAAATTGAAAATTCAACAGCTTTTTGTGCTCAAATAAATCCATCATGTCAGAGAGCAAAGGGCATCCATTGTAGGGTTTGCCACTTTCAGTGTGAATAAATGAACCATGCCAGGGGACAAACATCGAGCTCATGTGACCCCCACTCACTCTCCAGCAACTGAATTTATTTGGTTTCCGAAACAAACTGTGAGTAGTGACTCATTTAGAATTTGGACACAAGATACACAAGGACAGCAAAGCCGTGGATGACGTAAGGTATTTTAAAGATTCATTTTAAGGGTGGACACTGGAAATTGGTAGAACATTCATAAAGTAAAATAAGAATCTTCTAGTAATTGCAGCGGTGATTACCAATTTTCAATAGCAAGTGTTAGTATGGGGTGATGTGATCGCACGCTTCGTAACCTTGTTTAGATAAGTGCTATACAAATAAAGTCATTCATATTGAGATTGTAGTTTCCAGTGGTGTTGAACTGGACAGCATTAAATAGAGGTATTTTGGCCACCACATTTACATACAAGAGAGGGGCAGAAAATCAGAAACAGATTTTGATCTTTTTTATCTCTGGGGGTTTTTTTGTATGTATATTTCACAGTTTTATGTATTGAGGATGTTGTTGGGTCCTGTGTGTGACTCCCAGCTGAGTCTTTAATTGTTTTGATTGATTTTTCTTCAGTGTTGGAGCTAGAATATATATCCAAGGCGGGCATCAAATTACCGGTAAGTGGCAATGTAGTGGTGTTTAGTGAAAGAAAGAAAGAAAGAAACTATAAAGCGATATGCTCACCAGGTGAAAGAAAAGGGCTGGTCCAGAGTCTGAAATATCTTGAAAGATCTGGTGACAGACATGGTGCCGAGGTTCAAGAGTTTATCCTGTAACGGAAACCACACATTGACCACTTTTATGATGTGTGGCATTTATGTTGAGGTAGTTCACTGGTTATTTGTAACGTGCAACATTAACGCCCACTGTAGAAAGATCTTTTCCAACTGTTCTCAGCACTCACCAAGAAGGTTGTTGTGATCTCTAAGGAGGACTGCAGGAAGGTCAGTCAATCTGGTACAGGAGCGTCATAAATCCCCTCTACTGGTCAAAACCCAGTTCATCCAGTGGAGAGGAAACGTGTGGAAAAGTGGACATCTCCTCATAATCGCATCCAGAATGTGGGGGACAAGTGACCCTGCCGCCTTCCGCTGACAAAAGCCAGTGGCTGATCAACAGCAATTGTCATTTAATTAGAATCCTGTAATATACTCTCAGTTGCTACGCACTCACCCTCTTTTATTTGCAATTGTCTTTCCCCTTATAGCAACAAAGGCCTCCTACAAGCTAGAAAAGGTACTAATCAACAAGCTTGTTCTCTGTGATGTGAAACACCTGATATCGCTACCAAACGTCTGCCTTGGAGAGGTTCTGCAGTCAGAAGAACCATGGCCTTCTCACACTCAGGAATGCAGGTAAATTGTAAAGTAATGTTGATATAGTGGATATGGATGAGTGAGTACACTATTATCTGTATCTATTCAGCCAGCTAAATTATCTGTATTCATTTTGGAGTCTGAACTTGTTAATTGATATGAGTTGATCAGAAGTACAAGAAGTGAAGTGAAGAAACGTTTACGGAACTTTTTTACTACTACTACTTATCTGCATCGGATACTCGTTTCAGCCGAGTACTCGCTCAACCCCAGTAACATGGCTCCAGAGCGCTACCATTTGACTTGCCTATTATATAAGTGAAAACCTGGCCAGTGGGACTAGAATTTTATGTGGGGATACATTGATTGAGAGTTGAGACCTGCCTTTAATCTAGAAATAATTTTGCCTCATTGTTTGAAGTGCTTGGATATACATTAAAGCTGCAGTAGGTAACTTTTAAATGAAATGAAAATAACTTTTTGTTGTATTTGCTGAAACTTTCACTATATCCTGACAGTAGAACATGAGACAGATAATCTGTGAAATAATCAGGTTCCTCTGGCTCCTCCTAGTGCTCCTAATGACATTTGCAAGAATCCACCGGGCCTGAATGAAAACAACCAATCAGAGCAGAGAAAGATAGAAAGACGCTTTGGGCTGGTGGCTTGAAGATAGTTGATTGTTGAAAATTACCTACTGCAGCTTTCAAGTTGCAGTAGGTAAGTTCCATTCATTACACGAATATTAGACAATGTATATTTATTTTAATGTCATTTTAATGAGGAAAGCGTAACATCCCAGCACACACTGTACTTAATGAATCAATTTAGTACATAATAAACTTTACGTACATTATGCAATAGCAGTAAAACTTCTTTTCATTTTCTGAAAGGAACCCTCACAGTTCATTAAAAAGTTTCCCGATGCCCAGCAAGTTACTGTATGTCTGGACAAATTTAGGGGAAACATGCACAAAACATCCAGAACAATTCCATTTGATGCAGTAACACAGCCATAAAACACAACACTGCAGGTTTTATCTATCACTCAATGCAAACACCAATGTGCTGTAGCTCATATGAAGTGCTGGTACACAGTGATACAAAACATAGTGCAGTCAAAAAGTCTGAAGCCAGTAAGACATTTTTTGTTGTTGCACACTGGTTCATAAATTTTTAGTGACTCTACCCTGTTCGTAATCAGCAAGAGCAAAGAAAAAGCATACCATAATCTAATTTAAATCCCCATACACCTGTTACAAAATAAAGGCTGAACATGTTCCCTCTTGCATTGGTCATGAGTCTGTAAAATACAGTCATGAGTCAAACATTTAAACGTATACTGTTTTACATTGTTCACCCCCTCGCTGGATCTGAGGCGTCTTGTTTGGTCATTTTTAAAAAGGTCACAGTCTCATCTCCTTGTGAACCATCTGTTGGTGTCAGTGGTTCTGGTGAGTGCTGGGCTTTCACTTTGAACACATCCCACTTCTCAGGAATCTTGCCTTTGTTGAAGAGCATAACGGCCAGGTAGGAGAACGACAAGTTGGCAGCAAAGGCAGAAAGCATGGCGATGGTCTTAATCGGAGAGTACTGGACATAAACACCATCCTCAAGAGTGCATCCTGGGAAGTGTATGACTGGTGCTAACCCTAATGATGGCTCTCCACTCAGCAGTCTTAACACCAACCCCGTCAGCCAGCCCAGAAAAGCCCCGTAGCCATTGGAGATGTTGAAGAAGAGGACGCAGACGAAATGAGGGAAGATTAAGATGTAGGAGATTTCACAGCCGAGGAACACCAGTGCTATGATACTGTTTTTCAGGCTGGTGAGGGATGTACCAAGCAAGCCCCCCACAACCACAGTAGCACGGATCACCCACTGGATTTCTCTCTGTGATGCCTAAATAAAAATAAAATAGGAAGAAAAAATAAGTTTCAGTGAAGCTAAGGTTTAATTTTCTCCATTCTCATTGTATTCTTCTTCTTTTCATACTACTTTTTTTACTACCATGCCCAAAGATATATTGCAATACAGTTGAATTGCAAAGATAAAAATTGGTGGAATGAAAATTCTATTTTGATCCTACGTCACTCTCATCAGTAGCTGTATCAAGGTGTAAAGAAAATACATGGGTAGATCTTGTTGCAAGAAAATCATACTATGAACCCAGTATCATGAGTTTGTATCATCCTAATGCCCATTCTTCTTAATCATTTACACTCTCTGGCAGTCCTTACCAATTCCAGTTTTTCTAAACATTGGAAAAGGTTTGTCTCCCGTTTTGTGATAGTACTTTAAGAAATCCTTTTTTTCTCACCTGAGGCCTCAGGATAGGCTTGTAGATGTTAGAAGTGAAAATGGAGGCTATAGAGAGTAAACCAGAGTCAGCTGATGACATAACAGCAGCAGCCATGGCTCCAGTACCAATGATAGAGACAATGCTTGGGGTGAGGTGGTGGATGGCGATAGGCAGGGCCATAGCTCCCTCCCCACGTTCCAATGGAGACGGAGAACCATAAGAAGTGAGGTTCCAGTCTGGTAGGTAGAGAGACAGGATAAGAAAAATGGAAGATAGTTAGACCAAAGTCCGGGACGCACTGCCTACCTCAACCTGTGCATGACAGCTACTGTACCTCGCTCAACTGTCCACACAGGCAGCAATTTCACTACAGAACTATCTTTCTTGTTAACAAATAAAGGTATTTAGCACTGCCCCCTAACAGCTGAATAAAACCTTCCATCAGTGTTCATGGTTCAGGAGGTTTCTACCCGGAGCCCAGTTATCCACAGAGGTCTCCTCCTCTCCAAAACAAACAAAGCCCTCTGATTAAAAACACTGAATAAAGCATAAAGCGTTTCTCGGTGGGGCTGTGAGCTGAGCCGCTGCTAACGTTAGTTCAGCTGGTTTCTCTGATTACGTGACAAAAATCCTTCATGCTGTGAAAATATATATTTAACGACCTAAATCTAAAAAAGTAAAAGTAAAATGTTCAGACTGGATAAAAAGTCAATGTATGACAGTTTCTGGCAGACAACCACAACGCTGACGCATGAACAAAGAGGATGTGACGCCATTGACAGGCGACTGGTAAAACACAGCGTTACCTGAATAAAATGACAGATTTCTCTAATGGAAGTACACTACTCAACTACATATAGAACATAGAGCTAGAGTTTACGGACATTTTAATGAGGAAATGTTACACGTGTTAAGGAAGTTGCAGGATTTTCCACCATTAAATCAGGCTTTCAGCATCTGATGGATTTACATTTGCAAATGACCTGAAATTGGCCAGTTTGTCTCTCAGACCATTTTAATTATGGCGTTTTTGCCCAGTGACACCCCGCCTAGCCCAGATTTAAGTAATTTCTGGGCATCTGATTTAATGCATAGTGTCACTGACTCACAAACAATATATATAATATAATATTAGGTTGTTTTCAATAGATATCACTGTATTTCTTTCGAAGCTCTTAATACCTGTAGATACAGCCACTGCTCCAATCAGTATAGGAGGTATTCCAAATATCCAGATGGTGAAAGAAGCAACATAGCATGTGATCCTGGCTGCAGATGAGGAAGCAGCAGACAAGGTCCTCTGGTGGAAGGTTTGATATCCCAGATTTCCCAGTGCCTTGAAAAAAAAAAAAAAATTCATTTTCTTTTCCTATTGAATCTGTAAAAGTTGAGTTACTCAATCACACATCACATTTTGATATTTTCACATTTCAATGCATTAAAAAAGCAGTATGAGGGATTTGGTGGCATCTAGCGGTGAAGTTTCAGGATGCATCTAACTGAATACAGCTCAGCCTTCCAAACGCGTAGGAGAAATTACAGTGGCCATGAACAACGCAAAAAGCCAGTGTTTGGTTTGTCCATTATGGGCTTCTGTAAAAACCTGGCAGTTCAACATGGCAGACTCAGTAGAATGCCAAGAATATGTTGCTGGTCTTTTTTTGACAGAAGCCACAACCTATCTGCGTCAAGCTACACAGAGCAGCAATTTTCAAAATAAAATACCCTGTGAATACTCTGGATTAGATTTCACACTACATCATTGTGGCACCAGACCAGAAGTCAGTCAGAGGCAGGTAAGAAGAGATTTGACACCATGGATTATGAGAAGTTCATCTTGGAAGTGAAGAAACACACCGCTTTGTATCTTTTCTAAGGACAAATTACAACAATGTTGGTCAGTCATGACTTTCTGAAGACTCTCTGCTTCTGAAACGATCTTGGTGGGATTTGAAGACACGCGGATCACAGAGCCATTTTGATGCAGATGGAATTTCTGCGTTACACACACAATCTCCAATAATATTGCCATTCAGTGTATGTAATCAGCTGCAACATTATCATAACTTTGGAGGTTGATCTATTTAGACTGGAGCAAACAGTTAGTTTGTAAACTTACCAGAAAAAAGAAATTATCGATGTATGTCCAGACAAACTTCCTCTCCAGTCTATTGATCCAGGGAGCCTGAAAAGTGTTGTTCAGGGCTGTCTGGGTAATATCCAGGGAGTAGGGGTTCGTCAAGACAAAGGGGACACAGATCCACTGCAAAGACAAGGAACACATGACAGCAATGCAGCACAGAAGGCCTGCAATAGATCTTTGTGAAGCTTGTGTTTTTCTTATTGTATCAATCAACTCTAATTTTAAGGGTGTACTTTGTGTAGGTGTTGTTTTCTTGGCATATTTAACATTTACTAACCTTAGAGAGCACTATGAATCAACCAAATAAAATAAAATAAGAACACCATAAACTAGGTATTATAAATGATTCTACAGCAATGAAAAAGGTTGTCCCATAGGTTGCTAAGAGAATGAAAACATGAATTAATAGCATCCTCACCATGGTTAAAAATATGAGGATGACCTGCACTATGTCTGTGTAGGCCACAGAGTAGAGACCGCCCATTAGTGTGTACACAATGACCACTGCAGATGAGATCCAGATGCTTACAGGGTAGGACAAATCCAAAATCACATGCATGGTGGCGCCTGTATTGGACACATGCACACATTTTGTTGTCACTTAAGGAGATATAGGACTGACTTACATTCATTCCCTGGAGCCTTTATCAAAACCACTACACGTCTAATCCCTTTCCCCGCAATAGACTGTTTTCACAGCAGCCATTTTGACATGAAATAGTAGAGTAAACACAGGTTTTACCAATGACGGTAATTAAGGTTCCATACATGCACAATAGCAGTACCCTGACTATGTTTGACCTAAATGGAATGGGATAGAACCTTGCAAGGGAAAGTTTTCTTAATCCCGCTCCTGGTGAATTTCTGATCATTACCACCCCCTCCCACTTTGTTTGTGTTCACTCCCACCCGCTCTCACACAATAGCAATTTTTTGTCTTCTCCTTTCCTGCAGGTGAAAAGATGTAATTTTACTGTCAGTGTTACTGTCAGTAAAAACTGAGAAATGCCTCCAAACGCCAAACTTTTAATCTTCCTGCAGCAACGTCAAAACACCCTGCTCCCGCAAGATTTGTATTGGGTTGGACCTGCAGGATCCCAATCCCAATGCAACCCTCCAGAACGGAACCTTAATTAGTATCATTTCATGGAAATAGAACCCAGAGAGTAGCTGTAATGTGCTTACATACCGTACCTAAACTAATAAGTGTTGCAGCCAAGAACATAACATCGGCTAGGAGTAAAGCCAGCGACTGAATGACTGTCATAGCTTTTCCATACTTGATCTGGAAAGGGTCCAACAAGGTCACATATTTGCTGTCTCTCATTGGCTTGGCAAACACGAGGCCACCTTGATAACAAAAACAGACAGATTTGCTGTTGGCAAGCTACATATACATTGAAGAGAAAGAGAGAAAAACACTGTCAATATTTCCCAATTTCTACCTGGTATTAAAGGTCCAGTGTGTCAAAAAAATAGAATATAGTATTCATACGTATGTTTTTTAGTGTATATAGGAATCATGTTTTCTTTTTCACGTTGAACTGCCCAGAAGTTTTGCAGGCACCATAGTTTCTCCTATACGGGCTTGGAATGGGAGGGTGAGACGAGGCTGTTGTAAACTATACCACTAGATTCCACTAAATCCCGCAAACTGTACCTTTAAATGTCTATATGTAACCTTCAGAAAACCATTGTTAATAGTGACACCAGTGGTCAGTAAACTGCAGTCAGCATCCTGTTGCTCACACTTGTTGCACTCCGTACACAGTCCGAAGGCTAATGTTCCTACAGTAGCCCAGAACGGTCAAACCAAACACCGGACTTTTAACATGCACCGTGTATCTGGATATACCATCTAAATGATAAAATCTGCACACAAGCCTTGCATTTACGTTCTGGTTTTAAGTCTCAAGTCGAGGGAAGCATTGAAGGATACTCTCAGGGAACCGCTATTTAGTGCTAGACAAAGTGTAACAGACAGCAGAGGGCTTTGGTAAGTTTCCTTCAGTATTGTTCCTAATTACATACATTACTTATAGAAGTTGCAGTGCTAGCTGGCCATTCCTCAAAAAAGTATTCTCTTCTCTTGGTTTGTTTCTGTTCTGTACAGTCCATTGCACACATGCCTTGTGTTCCTCTAGTGTCTTTCTAGGCACTGGCAAAGTTTTACAAACCGAAAACCTTCATGGTTTAAAAATTCAAAATACAAAAAGTGATAATTGACCATGTTAAAACAAATTCTGACTGCAGCGCCCTGGTTGCTTGCGTGGTAGAGTGTGTGCCCCATGTACTAAGGCTGAGAATCACATGATGCACAATGGCTCAAAGACTTTTTCATTAGAAAACAAAATTGCTCTAAAATGATAATTAAATGATGAATAAATGGTAACACCCCATAATGACTGTATTAACAGGTTTAATAAGCGCCAGCTCATACAAATGAAACACCAATGGCAGCAATTTTAATGTCTTTAAATGTTTTCGCTGTAATAAACACATCAAACATCTCCATAATAATATAACAGCCTAATACTTACCCAAGATGAGGGAAAAGGAGTCAGCTGATAGCATGACTACCGCCATCGTTAGTCCCAGAGAGGGCATGTATATCATCTCAGATAAGCCCATGATAAAGAATCCTCCGACCCACGTGGCTACAGGATGGACAGGCACATACAAACAAAACAATGAGTTCACAGGAAAAACAAATATGGTTTAGACAAGAGCAAAAATGATTAAGACGCTTTACTGTATTCTCCCCATTTCTGTAGAGTGTTGAGTTGACCCAGCTTCAGCCAGTAAACCCTGCATGGGTGCTGGTGCGATTTTTTTTCTGACTTGACTCTTATGGTTCTTTTTCATTATTAAATATTATATATTATTTAAATATATATTTTCTAACATTTCTAAATAAATTGTTAGGCGTTCTGCTTGCCTCTAGTTGCTTTAACTGCTGGGATACATCAGAGCGGGGAAAGGAAGTCAGCGAATGTCACTAAACGTAACATCTACTACTACTGTTGTTCTACCAGTCTGTAGTGGCCAGTGTCATCTTCTTTGCTGTAGCTGGGGAGGAGGCATTGGGACTTATAGTGCCAACAAGCTGAGCAAGCTGGTGAGGAAGACCAGCTCGGTGGTGGGGGATGGAGCTGGACAGTGTGGAGGCTGTGACTGAGAAGAGGATGAAAGGGAAGCTGAAAGATATACACTGAACTCCCTCTACACCAGTGATCCTCACTGTTTTTTTTCACAAGAGCCACACTGGCAGAGCAAAATCAAGGGAAGAGCCACTTTTACGACAACATACCAAGTCACCTTTGCGAATGTGCATTTCTATAAATTGGACATCCAACAAAAAAAGAAACAACACAGCCAATACATTTTCAATTAAGAAGATTTACCTTAATACTGGGGTGAGTGGAAGCTGGCATGCATGTCCTTGACTTTCTTCATGTTGTATTTGTAACTTGTTGTTGCAATCACAGTGAGGCATTCAAGATGAGAATGGGTCAGTCGGTTTCTCTGTTTCCTCTTGATAGTGTTCATGGTTGGAAATGTTGACTCACAGGTGTATGTGCTCATGAAGAATCATCAAGACATCACTTTCTGTGCAAATGGTTTCAAAGTGGGAAAGTCTGCTTCAGAAACTAAACTCCAGAAGTGGCCAGCACCTGCTCTGAGTTCAACTTGGAGAATGTCATTTGTTTGCATCTCCATTATTTCACTCTCCAGAGCGGCACAATTACCAGGGCAGAGCTGTGTGATGGTTGGAGTGAGAGAGGATACATCCACATGGAAGAGGTTTTCAATAAAATTGAAAATCTCCTTATGTTCAGTCACATCACTGAATCTGGATTCAAACTCACCCTTTAGCTCCTCCAAAACTTCAACAAATCCTCTGTAGCTGAGGTGCTGCTGCAGAGATGGGTCACTTGTGGTTGTTGTTGTTGAGTTTTGGGAAGTGGATGAGTTCTCTGTCAGGTATCCACAGAGCAGTTATTTTGTTTTGGAATGCTCTGACTGCCTTTAGCATTTCACTTGGAAGCTTGTCTCTCCTTTGGAGCTGCAAGTTGAGAGCGTTCAGGTGACATGTAATGTCAGTAAGGAGGGCCAGCTGTATGATCCAGTGTGGGTCTTTCAACTCTGGCTGGTGTTTCCCCTTGCTGTCCAAGAAAGTGTTGATTTCAGGAAGAAGGCTCAGGAAGCGCTCCAGCACCTTTCCACGGGACAACCATCTTACTTCACTGTGCAACACTAAATCACTGACTGAATCAGACAACTGTAATCCCTTTATTTGTTTAAGGATCGCGTCCTTGTTGTCAAAGTCTGTGAACAGTATTTCTGCTGAAGCCAAAAAGCACTGCGGTCAAGCCAGCCGTCTCTCGTTTTGGCTTGGTCGAGCCAGCCGCTCCTCGAGCTTCCGGTTTTCAAATCAGAATGAGTATTAAAAGGCAATGTTGACTGATTGCGTTTTTTATATTGACTCATTAGTGTAAATTATGAAGACCATTGAAAGCTACTGAAAAGAGGTGTGTCTTAATCAGCCTGTGTAGTCATGTGATCCACCACTGATTTGCAGTCATTAGGTCACATGACCTGGGAGCTATTGAGTTAAAATGCTGTATTTTTCATAAAAATATTAATATAAATTATGATGACCATTAAAAGCTAATAGAAAGAGGTGTGTCTTAATCAGCCTGTGTAGTCATGTGATCCACCACTGATTTGGAGTCATAAGGTCACATGACCTGGGCACTATTGAGCAAAATGCTGTATTATTCATAAAGAATATTAATATCAATTATGAGGACCATTCAAATGTAAGGAGGTGTAAGTGATAGAAGTCCTTACAGTACAAACCATTGATGGAGTTGCATCGAAGGCAGCACACATTACAGCAGCTGTACAGAAGCAGCAAGGCATAGCACCAGTCATGGTGACTGTCTGTCTAGCATTGCATGCAGGGGAAAAACCTAGGACCGCAGCAACAGTTGCCCATATTATTCTGGCCATTGCTAAGCCAGTGCTCCATCCCCCTGAGGTTAGGGTGTTGGTAGTGATTATAGTTACCAGTTGCTTGCCCTTTCTTTTTGGAGTTGTTCTTCATCCATGTGAAGACACTGCTCATGGTACCATCTGTCACATTTGTCACACTGTATCTGTAAAATAAAATAAGCAAAGACAAAATCTCCAGTCAGGTATAAAATGTGCTATGGAGAATAATTTCTAGTTATAGGCAAAAAATGCCTTTGCCATAATCATTTTCAGTTCAGATTTGTATTAAGAAAAGTATGTCCTCTGCATTACACTTCTTGCAGACTACAGTTCTTATGACCACCAATTATCGCAATGAAAGGGAACAGTTAAATATCAGTCCTTAGTATTGTTGACCAAGTCTCAAAAGTTACCATGTTCTTTGCCATTTATGCCAATTATCTTTTATGGATGTTGGTCAGAAAGGTGGCCCATAACATTGCTTATGGTGAAGTATTCCTCTGTCTGAAAAATTTTGAAAAACACTATTCTAAAAACAAACATTTTACTATATTAACATACAATAAACCCCAAATCATAAATGTACCAGAAATAGTGCCAAACACTCACCCAGTGCGTATCAGGAGGCCCTGACCCTGGGGGCTTTGAGGCAGAGCACATGGTACAGGAGTTGTCCATGTCAAACACTGAAAGAAAAAAACTATTTTATTATACACACATGTACTCATTAACTCATAGCAATCAAATTATACGTAGCATGTCAACATAATTATGAATAACCATTACCTCAGGCATGGTAAAAGAGTTTTCAAGTCAAACAAGTCAATAGAACTATCAGTATTCAAATTCCTTATTACAGCAGAAAACATAATTCCACACCTTTCCTTTAGGTGATTTGTTTCCTGTTTCAGTACCAAGTTGACTGTATTGGTGTTTGCTAAGAAATATCTATGATTTCATAATGGAAATATAAGTTCATCAAAGGTATGTATTGGATATATGATTGAGAATTGGTTTATAAAATCTATGACATGGGCTGTGTTAATAATACTCCCTCACTTCAATAACAGTTACACAAATGAAAATACAGAACTGTAAGTATGAATTTATTATTATTGGGGGCATTATTGAGTTGTTATAGTTTTTATATTCCACTACAGGTGTTGTCTGTCATAACTGTAATTCATGTTAAATGTACTATCTATTTTATGTAATATTATGTACTGTAGATGATTGTTAACAGTGATACTTTATGCATTGAATAACACAGTGAATTGAAAGTCACACAAAAGATCTGACATGACAGGTAGTTAACAAAATGTAATTTTGGATGTAGTGAAAGAACAATCCAACATTTTTCCTACCTATCATTATAACTTGTGGTAATTATTGACTCTACTTATGGCATGTCCTGTCACTCTACAGTAGATGACCAGTTGTCTATATTAGAGCGACTGGTATGTTGTGTCATTCATCCATTAGGATCTATCCTGATGACCTTATCCTGTGTATCTACGAATATTATTTTAATTTCTTAACCCAGTTATTTTTACATTTTTCAAATAAGCACTATAGTATCACTTATAATGATTTCCCCCATGACCCTGATAGATATATATAGAGATAGCATTTTACATAAAACACAAAACACAAACACACACACACACACACACACACACACACACACACACACACACACACACACACACACACACACACACACACACACACGGTCATTACCATGGTGACGATCACCCCACAACTACAGGTATCACGTTGGATTGGATGGTGCATGGTTGTTCCTCTCCACTTGACTGTCCCCCAGTCATCATCATCATCATCATCAAAATTTCAGAGGAATTTGTTGATTATTGCATGTATCCTGCTTTTTTCAGGCAATTAAAAAAAAAAATTAAGCTGGACCGTTATGAGAGGATATTGCTGACATACCGTATTCTTGTTGCTGCCTGTTCTGACTCTGCTTGCTCTGATTTATTAGCCATAGGATCCAACAAATACACTGTGCTAATGGCAGGAAATACATACTAAAAAAACAGATTAATGTTATTTCAAAACAACGTCATACATATACACACAACACATAAGGATTTCAGATCAGCAGTATAGTAACAATCACTGACCAGTAACTTCCAGTGTACTCCACCAACATTTACAAAGGAAAGTATGGCTTCGTAGTTGTTGAAGTCAGTCTGTAATGGAGACATTTTTAGTACAGTTTGGAGAGTTTACGCTTTACTCAAAAGCAATCTTCTTGAAATTGGATTTTTTTTATCATTACTTTACGTAAACAAAAACCCTCATGCTCTCACACTACATAATCAAACTGTGCAAATGCAAATCAGCTGTTTCATGCTTAAAAAGGGCTTTTTTAGGTCTGGATAGGTTAAAGGAATGAAAACATGTATTACTGTTCGCAAGTTGTGCCGTCTGACTTGGTCCCTTTTTCCAAAAAGTATCACACCAGCTGTGTAATGATTGAGAATGTAAATGGTCTTTCCAAGGTTGAGCTAGTTGGCATACAGATGGAACAGGCCCTCCATAACCTGAATACCAGAAGACAGAGGAAATACAGTTGAATAAACAAAATAACTCATATAAATTGACAGCAATGTAAAAGTAAAATTTTATTGTATGGAGAGGTATTCATATTTTGGAACATTTTTGTAATAAATAAGTTTGATATTTGATTGTATTCTGGATAATGTTTAAACCACCAAATACCTCGCCTGTCAGCCATTGGTGAGGTCTCAGTGAACAGAGCTCATAGTGGTGTATCAGAAAACTGGAACCACATTGGTTGACAGATGGGATCACAGCAACTTCCGTGTTCTTCCTTTTCCACAGAGAATGTAACTGGAAAAACAAATGTACACATTTTAAATTCTTCACTGATAAATTGCACAACTGTTGTTTATACAACTTTAATATAAAAAAAATACATACTGTGATACATTTTTCTTCATGTAGGAATCGACAGTACTCTCTAAAGTTGTTTTTGTAAATAAAAAGTATTCACCACATTTTAAAGATGTAAATCTTAACAGAATATCAATAAAATGAATGTACATTGTGTTAGTTCAACCTAATGCATTTAGAATCAAATAAATGTCCAGTTTAAACTGCAATATTTCCTTCTTCTCGATAAAAAAATTCAAATCATTGAAATTTTACCTCTTGGCTTTCATCCACTGAGGAGGCTTGAGGGTCATTTGGTGATGACAGTGTCTTGCCTTTGTTGTCTTCCAGCAAGGACACAGAGCTGGCCGAGTCAGAGCCTGGGTCATTGTGGGAATCATCACTGCTTACTTTAAATACATAGCTAGATGAGTCCAAGCCTGTTTCAAGTATTGCATCTGTTGTATCTTCCACAGCACATGGCTGGATGGGTCATCTTCAGCTGAGTCTGCATCATTTTTTGTTTGATTTTGGACTATATCTTGAAAATCTTCCAGCAGGAGGGCTGGATGAGTCTGCTTCATGTGACTGTATGTTACTTGTTTTGCTGTTATCTTTTTTATTGTCTGTTCCTTCCTCACTTGCTGATTTCTTCTTCCTCATCATCATTCTTTTTATTTTGCTTGGCATTGGTCTCTGATGGGATTCTACCTTTGGCTTCATCCTGTCCATCTATTCCAGATGTCTCCTTAAGCCTTTCTCTTTCACTGACATCTCCTCCTAAACATAAAAATATTCCAAAAGGGATTACTCTAATTTTATTGTTGGACATACCTCTTGAATCCTAATAATAGTATAAGAAAAATAAATCTGAAATTCTGTAGTTTGTTAAACTGACAATGATGAAATATTCAACAGTTGACTGTAATGTACACTGAAGGCCTTACGACTGTATTATTAATAAATTGAGAAAAAAACTTGGTTAGCACGTTAGCAATAATAGATCATTTCTGGTTATGATGAACATTTAATTAATTTAGAATTAAGAAGGATGATCAGGAAATATTTACAGTAATTAATGGTCAGAATTAATTTAACAGTTGTACTTGGACTTGTCTTACAAAAAAGGAGCTAGCATTTCAAACATTCTAGTAAAATCTTAGTTGTCTTTTAATAGTAGCCCACCTTCAAGAAGCACCTCTGTCCGCAATCCTCGTCTTTCCTCCCTCCAGATGACCTTCAGCCACTTAACATAGTCTTTCTTGTTAATTTTGAAGACATCAAGTGTGACTGATAACGATAAAGTTCAGGTGCATAAGTGCCACCTACTGGCATTTAATATAGGCTACCTGAAAAAGAATGAACTCCAATCTTTTCAGTAATGTTATTTTTCTGTTTAAATTTATGATTTCCCTCAAATAACACCAGGTGGAAAAGACACACCTCTTTCTATTAGCTTTTAATGGTCCTCATAATTGATGTTAATATTTTTATGAATAATACAGCATTTCTTCCTCAATAGCTCCCAGGTCATGTGACCTAATGACTCCAAATCAGTGGTGGATCACATGACTAAACAGGCTGATTAAGACACACCTCTTTCTATTAGCTTTCAATGGTCTTCATAATTTACACTAATAAGTCAATATAAAAAACGCAACCAGTCAAAATTGCCTTTTAATACTCATTTTAATTTGAAAACCGGAAGCTGGTCTTCTCTGTGCAGTAAAGGTCGCAATATGGGCGTAAGTAAAATGTAGGAGCGGCTGGCTCGACCAAGCCAAAAAGAGAGACGGCTGGCTTAACTCCAAGTTCGTTTGAAACGGGCGTATTTTTTTTTGCATATTAAGCACAGAGGGTTCGTGCCATGAAGAACAAAAAAGAATTCGTCTATCCACTTCTCTTGAAATGTCCTGTGCTCATCTTGTATGCCTCGTACCTTTCGTTTTTTTACTGGGAACACCTGACGTTTGCCTGCTCGTCCCCTCTCCGGCGTCTTCATGTTGATTTTCGTTTGCTGCTTCCTCAGACTCTTTTTCCTCACTATTCATTACAACGCTGTGTGTCTGTCCGTCTGGTTTTTGTGCTGGTTTTTGCCCTTTTTTTCAAAAAGGAAAATCAATCCATTTTGTGCCTGCATCTCACACTGGCTAGCAGAGCTAACATAACCTGGCTGCAAGCGTGTACTGCAGTCAAGTGTATACAATTCTATAAGCGGGCTGTGTTGCCAGGTTTGACAGTGCCCC